ATTTGCTTGGTAACAGCCCAAATGTCTTATTCTTATTCACTGATTAAATGTAAGAATTTGACTCAAAATATAATGCACACTTTTAGGAAAAATGGCTTCATAAAGGTAAAAATGCCCATAAAAGGTAAAAATCTATTTAAACTTATTGGAAAAGATTCATTTCTATCTGACCACCACACAGAATATGAAGAATATGAAAAACTTTAGGAGTCAGCTGTATACAAAAGTCCTTAAGATACCAGCATGATAACACACTCAGTCAGTTGAATGAATGACTCAATACTCATTCATTCAGCGACTTACCGTCACTTACTGGTAGTTCAGTTGAGAAGTATGTTGGAAAGTATGCATTTTTCCCCTCAACATTTATTTGTATATTCATAAATGCATTTAAAACATTACTCTCATAACATTATTTATTGCCGTTGTAATTATTGTTATTTGCAGTGTAAATGATTTAATCTGACTGGTAGCAGCCCTATAGTGTTGAATCGAATCGTGAAATCAAAATCGTGAATCGAATCGTGAGTTGAGTGAATCGTTACATCCCTATTATGCATACATCTAAAAAGGTTAAAAATAGGCCTTTGTAAAGTTAAATATGCAGATTTAAGTATGTAAAAGCTGATAGAACACTGATGAAAATATTGCTTCAGAATAAATTGTTTACTCCACCAAAAATCTGTGATGCAGTTATTTTGCAGGGATATTTTATATGAAATATTGTCTGCTGACATTAAAAGTTCACTGTATATCGTAGTAATAAATATCATTTATTACAGCAATGATATTTAGTTTTCTTAGCCAGGTAAAAACTTGTTCATGTCTGTAGAAACCCTGGATAAGTGAAATTGTATTCCTGTTCGTTTTTATTTATTTGTAAGACTGTTTGTCTTGGATTGATTTGTGGACCCCAAGAAGACTAGCAACCACTTTGTGGAAGCTAATGGGGAACCAAATAAACAATGGACTATTCGTTTATCATCTACTCATCTACTCAGCCTAATGTTGCAAACCTGTGTAACTGGAACACAAAATACAATATTTTTAAGAATGTTGATAACCATCCGTCTTGGTTACTGCTGACTTACGTTATATGAGTTTGATAGATAGATAGATAGATAGATTACTGCAACGACATGAGGGTGAGGAAATAACTATTTCGGTTCTTGGGCGTCTTGTGGAAAGTCCTTACTTGGCATTTTGCAGTCTGGCAGCCTGATTCAAAAATACGCTAGGAATGTAATGTTCATATATCTATTTCATCAATTACATGTCATGTTCATCACAGCAAGCCACACTGCCAATAATCACACCGATCGAGTTTGCGCACCCTTATACCATTATATGCGTTTACATCAATGTATATCACTAAAGCTATACTACTAACGTTCTTCCTTGCTTATGAAGACCGACCATCTCGTGCGTTATTCTGCAGCGTCACAAACACTGTTGTACTTACACTATTGCTCTGGTGTTTGGCGGCTTCTGGCCGGAGAAGCTGTAGGGACTGGACACTTCACACAGCTCGCAGGTGAAGACGCCGAGCGCGGACCCTTCGTTCACATCCATTATGTAACCGTGCGCTTCTCGTGCTGCACAACCTCTACGTCCCATTCAAACACATCCTAACTGTTTTGAGTGAGCACGCGATCTGACAGCGCGCCATGACCATGATGCTGCTGCGACGTCACGACGGTGCGTCGAGAAGGACAGGCTCGGCGTTTCCGTTTTACACTTTACGCTTGCAGTACACCAGACTACACAGAAGATGGCGCCAGAAATAAACACGTCCACGCCGCTCATTTCAGGTTTTTTAGAAACATTTTTCATCAACATGACATTTCATTTCAAACTACAAACACCACATGAGATTAGTCAGTAATTACGCACCCAAAAGCCACAACTAAAGATGAAATTATTAATTAAAAACTGCAACAGTCTACAAAGCACTTTCTGATCAAGTCTTGTGGATTGTCAACTCTAGTAGATTTTGCTCGAAATGCTACGAAAATTAATTTTCCTTGAAAAAAACAAATACATCAATAAAACAATAATTTACCAATCGAATACAGGTACTAAGTCAGAACACATAACACATTTGTACAATAAAATTACAGTTGGAGTGCTATAAAGTGTACAATAATATTTTTTATACAAAAGATTTTACAAATGATGTTCAATGTACAAGCATTTCAAATGAGGTAACAAACAATCGGATTTATATGTCTCTCTCTCTATACATTTCATTCTAGCATTAAACCATTATATGAAAAATCACCCCTTATTCAGGATAGTCAACTCTATATATTTTCCAGGTCCTAAATCTTGACTGCTAGTGCTTATCTGGCAGAGCAGAGGCGGCGTTGTGCTCGAGTTTAAAAGTGCAGAGTGACAACCGCTCTGGAAGTTACGATTCGTTAGCCACGCCCCCTGTAATCTCCAAAGCCCCGCCCTTCAAACTACATGGATGGAGCAGGAGAGCAGCAGCGCATCATCTCAGAGTGGCCACATTTGTCAAAAACAATACACGCCAACTATGCTCTCGCACTATAAACAGATGCTTATGAAGCTAAATATGGCACTTTAATGGTTTACTGCCAGTTTACAGTGAGCCAAGGCATATATTTTGAGTGCCATCTATTTACTGCACCTGAAATCCACTTTTTGGCAAATTTACAAAAGCATCTATTGCACTTTTCTACGGGACTATAGGCATTGGCCTTATAAAGGTCTGTGCCCTATTAAAGGTTAGTGCTATATTTCTCAGCCTAGAATTACGCTGGCTTTACCCTATAATGTCCCGGCAGTGCTTGATCCGACAGCAGGTGCACACCACAAAGATGTTCCCACCAGGCTTCTTTCCCCCTCTGAGCTGAGCATCTTTTATCTCCTGTCCCACACGCAGAGGGAGCTCTTGTGTTTTGGCGCTTGCTGAGAATGGCGACGCTTCAAAGTCAGTACATGTCCCTGTAGATCTCCTGCAGAAGCGGGTGGAGTGAAGCGTCCTCCGTCTTGTTGATCTCCTGGACCAGCTCCGTGTGTTCCGTCACCAGCTGCCGCAGGTCGGCCAGTTTCTGCAGCAGCTTGGGAAAGAGAAAGGTGTTGTCGGGGTGGTTGGACACCAGGT